TGTCGGTTCTTTTTCATTTTTTCATCCCACCACCATGAATCTGCAAAATCACAAAAACCAAGAGACACTCTCTCGATCTTTCCATTTTCTCTGGCACCGACAGACACCACCATCACTTTCACCACTCTCCATCACCACTCGGGTTTCAAACCTTCATAACCTACATATGTGCACTTTTTTACAGGGTCTGGTGCTCTTCTCCATGTAAACTCCGACGGATTTGTGAGTTCTAGAGCTCGGGCTCAGTTCCAATCCATTCCAGTAGAGAGAAGAGGAGATAGAGAGATAGAGAGATGGAGGGAGATCATGATCCAAACTCCCTGCAAGCTTGACTCAGCTCATAAATCCTAGCCCAAAACGTATTTAACTGCTCGCTGCTACCCGTTAAAACCAGCGAACAACTACCCTGCTATCACGACGTCATTTCCACAGCGTTATAGAGATTTCGGTCGTCTATTCGAAGGTAGGACCGCCACTGGGTTTTATTAAAAAAACTCTACCTTCCTACTGAAACACTGCTCGGTGAACTCAAACATCTCCCATGGCGTCCTCCGTGTCTACCTCCCACCGCGTCCTATCCTCTCTCTCCTCGCAGAATACCAACAGTCGGCTCTAGTTTTCGCATCTAGTTTCCCAATATCAGAGAAAACCATGATGATCGGGGTCCGCCGCCATGTCGTACTTGTCTACGGCACCGCCAGAATCTCCGGTGGTCATATTAACCCAGCTATGACTATTAGCCTTTTCCTGGCCCGCAAGGTCTCGCTCATTAGAGCCGTGGCTTACATGGTGGCCCAGTGCTTGGGAGCTATCGTCGGCGTTGGGCTGGTCAAGGCCTTGTAGAAGCGCAAGTACAACTTCGTCGGTGACACCGCCAACTCTGTGGCTAGTGGTTACAACAAGAGCACAGCTCGGGAAGCTGAGATCATCGGCATCTTCGTCCTTGTCTACACCGTATTCTCGGCCATCGACCCCAAAAGGAGCGCACATCAGTACCCTATATACTGCTTACTCACCACAAGTTATACAAACAGTGGTTTATTACCCTATGGTCCATCTGGAACCAGTAAAACCACGCCGTTTAGCTCAACTGTTGTTAAGGTTTGAAGGTTTTGGTCAAATCTTTGAGATTCAGATCTCGAAATATCCCTGCTTCTCAGATGTGCAGATCAGGTTTTTGCACGACGCTCGAACCGTTTCTGTAGGTGATGCCATCGGAAATGATAAATCTGGTTGGCTTTTTTCGACCACCTACATGGAAAAGCTATATGTGTTTGTTGTAAAGGAGATGGTTCTGATAAATGGACCCATTATTCTTGAAATGGGCATTCACAGGTCAGTTTGTGTTTGATCACACACTATGAGATTTCTGGCATAAGGCTGTATACAAGTGGGCAACCAGCAGCAGAAAGTACGTCCAGTCACTAGTTAACTTTCAGTGCATCAACAATCTTTATTATCAGTGCATCAACATTTTATAGACCACCAAAGAAGATGCCCACCAACAATGAAACTTTCATCATGAAAATGAATGCATGTTCCCTGCCTATTCTTTGAGAAAGCTACTAGAAGACCCAGGAGGAAGATAAGGGTTCCTTACTTTAAGTGATGTATTTTATTTTTCGTATATTTCGGAGATACTTGCTTCTCATATTTACAGATCCACTGACGGCGACATTGACATCATCATCGTCGGTGCGGATGACGCCACCACCATCTCACTCAGAAGACTACACTCCTTCCGTGACGTCACCCCGTCTACACCATCACTCATCTCCCATCACCTCATGACGTGGCAGATCCTCTTCAGGGCCAGAGATGATGACCCGTCATCATCCCCAGCCAACACTGCCGTCGTCTGTCTCAACCGCATGGAGGAGGATGTCGCCTAGCAAAGGCGTTAGATTATGTTGTGAGTCAAGCTGATAAGATTGTTGAAAGCCTCAGGAATTTGTCAGGTTATCTTGGTGCAGCTAAGCGGGTTAGTTTTGACGTCGATGACGGATTACAGCAACGGACCGGTTCACTGAAGTTACATGTGTTTTTTCGATCAACCTTTGAGACAACTCCCGAGTAGCACCTTCAAAATTCATTTGCATGTTACTTGTCCACATCAGTCCAGTCATGGGAGTTTTACATGAAAACTAAGTATGCATCCTTAATAAACATACACAAATCCGTTATGAATAAAATAGATAATTGAATTGCAATCACAACTTATCAAATCACAATTGGAAGGAATCAATTGATATTGCAAATATATTCATGGTATCGAATTCTCCTCTAGCCAAAAAAGGTTTAGTTCCTTATACTTGCAATTAAACAGAAACAATTGAAATTAAACATTGAAAACCAAAGTAGAATACACCTAGAATGCTCCAGCAATCCAAATTGAATGACTAGCACAACTCCAAGCAATCCTCCTTCCTTGCAAATATGCGGCACCAAGGTGTGAGTGGTGAATGGATGGTCTCTTGTGGTGGTGGATAGATATAGGTGAGTTATGGTGAAGGGTGGAGAGTTGTGTAAATGATGTGGTGTCTTTGGATGATGGCCCCCTTAAATTATGGTGAAGGGTGGATGTATTTATAGGCTAGGGAGAGGAGTGTATGGAGTTGTAATGAGTGGATGTAATGGGTGTAGTGGGTGAGTGTTGTGGTAATGAGTGGATGTAATGGGTGTAGTGGGTGGATGTTTGGTAATGAGTGGATGTAATGGGTGTAGTGGATGAGTGTTTGGTAATGAGTTGATGTAATGGATGTAGTGGATGAATGTTTGGTAATGAGTGGATGTAATGGGTGTAGTGGGTGGATGTTTGGTAATGAGTGGCTGTAATGGGTGTAGTGGGTGGATGTAATGGGTGTAGTGGATAAGTGTTTGGTAATGAGTGGATGTAATGGGTGTAGTGGATGAGTGTTTGGTAATGAGTAGTGTTTAGTAATGAGTGGATGTAATAGGTGTAGTGGGTGGATGTTTGGTAATGAGTGGATGTAATGGATGTAGTGGGTTGTGGTAATATGAGTGGATGTAGTGGTAGGTGAATGTGTGTGTTGGGTGAAATGAGTGTGCTAAAATGGTTATTTATAGGGAGAGGATGATGCACAAACTTCAAATTTCGTCCATTCCTTTTGCTCCAAGCATATGCCATCCATTTCATGCCTAAAAATGCTCCAAAATGCTCCAAAATGCACTTCTTTGCCACATTAACCCTTTAGACCTACAAACACACGAAAATAGCTTAAAATACTAAAATAACTACGAACTAACAACATAAATGCCAAGAAACAAGCTAACTAAGTCACATAAATATGCTTCTATCAGTAGTCAATTCGGATTTTAAATGAGGATTTTGAAATCATGTTGTAGTCAAATTAGGATTTAAGAGGATTTTAAAAATACATTCAAATTCAGGGGTAGCCGATTAAGATTTAAAATATGTCCACACATGTCTAGGTGTAGTCAAAACACCAAAGATTTGGTAGGATTTTAATGATAATGGATTTTATTGGATTTGAAGGTGATGATATAAATACCAAATGCCTTTAACAATCCAACCTTCAACCCTATGATTTCATTTCAAGACCAAAAATTTCTCTCTTCTCTTAGAAGAGGAACAATCTTCCTCTATTTTTTGCCCTACCTGAGATCTAGTGATTCAATATATATTTTTAACATATTGCTGCAATCAGTTTTCTTCTCCCATGTTCTCCTCGCACGAAACCAACTTTCAATGGAAAATCGCCTCAAATCGCCAAAAATCATCATAATCTCCATTACCCTAAACCCACACAACTTGCACAAATTCAGTGAGTTCGGCGCTGGGCCGAGCTTTGTTCCCAACAGCTATACTTTCTCGTTTTGGGGTGGACTCTGTGTTGCATGTATAGAATTTGTTGATTCATATGTATTGTTGTTGTGGGGAAGTGGAACTTGCTGGAAATTATTGTTGTTGTGGGGAAGTGGAGCTTGCTGAAAATTAATGAAATGTGGTTTCTAATGTTATGCTTGGTGGTAGACCTGGCATTTTGGACCCGACCCGTTAACCCGACCCGACCCGACCCGACCCAACCCATTAATATTAGTATTTAGGTGGATGCTTAACGGGTCGGATCGCTAACGAGTCAACCCGTTAACAACTCGTTAAATAACGGGTCACTTTGGGTCAACCTGTTAGACCTGTTAACACCCTTTAGTTGATGATGTTTTAGTAATTTTAATAAAGTCTTAACAGCAAAATATAAACTCTATGAAAATAATAATAATAATAATTGTTAACAGGTGTAAACGGGTGAAACGGGTGACCCGTTAACTTAACGGGTCGAGTTAAACCCGACCCAAACTCAATAAACCCGACCCGTTTACAGGTCTACTTGGTGGGTACTAGAAGGGCAGGAAGCCAGAGTGTGCATTGAAGTTTAGGAATGGTCGACATGGGATTGAAAGGGAATGAAACTACCATGGTGAATATGCTTGCGGCTTGTGGTTAGTCTACTAGACAGAATGAAGGAAGGTTTGACAGAGGAGACTCATAACTGAACACACATTGGAAAATTGGAGTTGTTTGAGTCACATGCGCATGATTTCATCATAAATGATCCGACGGCTCCACGTGTGATTTTCATTTTTTTTCAAAATCCTAAGAAATCCATACAAATCCACAAAAATCATAATATAAATCTATATAAATCTTTTAAAATCTATATAAAATTATAAAGTCTATTAAAATCTTTTGAAATTTATCACTAAAAAAAATATATTAAAATCCTCGAAATCCAAATTGACCAGTAATTCCGGTTTATTGAACGAGTGATAGGACTTGGAACCTCTCCTGAGCCCAAGGAGAGGAAAGGACTTGGGCATCCAACGGCTATAAAAATGATCATTTTAAAATTATAATAATTATAACTGTTGAATTTTCATCCAATGGCCCAAAACCTTTGGTTAGGAGGATCCTCACCTTGGGCTCAGGAGAGGATCCAGGTCCCGAGTGATATACCCAATTGTGTCGTCGCTAGCGACAGTACAATAGCACAAAACTCATAGAGAAGCAGAAGCCGGCGCCTACAGACACTAGACTCGTCGTGGAAGAAGCAGGAAACGAGTTTCACATTCCTACAGCGGATATTTAAGATGGAAGGAGGTGGAGGAGGAGGAGGAGGAGGAGGAGAAGACGACATAGTTTGCTTGGACGAATCTTTCTTCATCGATGACAAGTAAGATTAAGGACGCTGTCCCTTTCATTTTTTCTGGGTTTTCTTCTTTTGCTGTTGCTGTTGCTCTTCTTCTGTATAATTTCCGTTCAGAAATCCCAGTGGTGAATGAAATGGTGCAGTTACCAGCTGACCACCTTCATATTTGGATCTCAAGTTATCGAGCTTCTTTGCCTCCACTCTGCTTCTAGTAAGTTTTATTGGCTCCTCTCTCTAAGTGACTCGACAATTTTAAGGTTAAAACTCAAGTTTTTCCTAAAACCAGGAAATTTGTCTTAAAAGAAATCAGGAAATTTCCGAAAACAAAATGTTTTTGAGAGAAAGTACGAAAATCGAATACACGTGCACAACAGTGGCCTTCGATAAAAACCTTGCCGGGATTTCAAAAGGAAAAAGGGCGTCCGGCACCAACATTAAATAGAGTTACTATCCTCTACTAATAAATCATCGATTACAACAGGAGGTTCCTCAAACCATGGAACTTGTTGAAGCAAATTTAGTTATATAAACTTACAATATGAACGAGTTATGTAACTAGTTTACTCTTACATTATAATTCTTGCTTCAGTCCCTTTGCTTTATAAAGTATAAGTAATGATCTTTTTGAATGTATTGGATTTTGAATAACATGGGTAAGTGCCTAATCTGAATGAAGCCATTACTTTAAATTTTGTTTTCAAGTCGACAACGGGGTCACATAGGTTCCTTTGTACATAATGCATTGTTGTAGTTCTAACTATTCTTGGAACAGCCGATTTTGATCTGACAGGGCAATTGGTATGGCCTGGAGCAATGCTGTTGAACGATTACCTTTCAAACAATGCGGTGCTTCTGCAAGGATGCACTGTTTTGGAATTAGGCTCTGGGGTCGGTATGTAGTTTTCAACAATTTCCTTCCTCTCCCTTTGGAATTAGGCTCTTGACTCCATCATTGCATAAGATAGTTGGTATACTAAATATTTATATGTATATGTATATGTATCTGCACGTAAGCGTGCGCGATATCTGTCTTGGTTCTGTAGCTTCCGTTTTACAATTTACAGGTATTACTGGAATACTGTGCAGCAGGTTCTGCAGCAAAGTTGTATTAACAGACCATAATGATGAAGTTCTCAAGGCAAGGTCATGGTATTAAAATTTAAGGCTATGGCATTTGATGAATCATCTCTAGTCTGCTAGTTTTCTTATTTGACTATTTTATGTTTTTCGTCGCAGATCCTGAAGAAAAATATAGATCTGCATGCATCTTCCGAGAAGTCTAACTTTTGTTCTGGTGAGACAATAATCTCAAAACATATGATGCGTAGTGTACTTGGTTGATAATTCGTTTTGGTTATGTGTATGCAGAATTAGTCGCTGAGAAACTCGAATGGGGAAATTCGGAGCAGATCTGCCACATTTTGCAGACGTATACAAATGGATTTGATTTGATTCTTGGAGCTGACATATATATCCACAATTGTTAATTTTTATCATAGTTAAGCAGCATGACTACATTATTCGCTACATAACTGAGTCAGTGCACCTGCATTTAGAGTCCTTTGGATTACACTGTACATTGATAGAAACCAGTTTAATGCGTTCTTTATTTTCATCTATCGAAAATTGAAAATCATGTTTTTGTACCTTCTGTTTCCACCTTTTATTAAATTGTGATTTTGTTATCTGCTCAATATTTCTTTTGTAGGAAATAAGTAGACATACATTTCATCCTACAATAAAGTTCCTCATCCAGCATATTTTAGAAAAGAAAAAGAATAACCCTTGACAATGCATACGCTTTCAACAATCGAGCATTGGTTTGCTTTTCAACACTGTGGAAAAACTTCTTCAAGCTAGAAGGGATGGGCAATGCAAATTCATACTAGCCTATGTATCCCGAACGAAGACGTAAGCAGCAATTTGTTATTAGTTTGCTTTTTGCTTCACATTTTCTGAAAAGGTCTTTATTGAATGAAATACCAGAGAGTTATATAAGTGCTGCTGTAGTTGGTATTATCATTCATATTCAAAATCTACTCATGTAGATGCCATTATGCATTCATAACTAAAGATTCCTAGGTATTTTATTCTGAAAATTTGTTTGTTAATTTAGGACTGAAAGTTTAAGTCAAATAATATCACTGCTAATTTTAAATTGCCAAAATTTTCAATGGAAACATCATTGTATTCAGTAATGCTGTATGTGTTGAGGAAGTGAGGAGGTGGTGGATCGTCTATTGCTGTGCTGTCTGGTTTAGTGTTTTGCCTAAGTCAGTTGTGGCTCTTGCTGATTGTTCATGCTCTCGAGCATAAATGAAAAAACCTAATAACAAAGCATTTTCTTTGGTATATATACAGAGTTTGAACATTTTTCTTTCATCACTTTTCCGGGCGGTTCTTTTCCGCGATTTCAGAAATTGAGGATCCATTTGAAAGACAGTGCAGATAGAAATTGGGGTTTAGGGTTCTTTTGATCATAATCCCTTTAAAAGATGACTGATTTGCTTTCGGTGCTTATGTCCTATACTGGTTAGAGTGGGAGTAAAAGCTACAGATCTCCACCATATCATCGATGTTTTCTATCTTGCACCAGTTGTTACTCTTTAACAAAATCACCTAGAATTAATATGCTTTGGTGTGGTTCAAGATCATATCATGTGAGGAAGTTTCATCACTGCTGATATCATGACTTTCAATGTGCTTAGAGTTCTATTGTTTATAATTCCCTTCCCTCTCTTATGCAATTGCATTTTTCTGTGCGCAGTATGGATTCGTTGGTCATTAGCGAAGCTTCACGGTGTGGGATGCAGATAAATGAAGTAGTTGGGACTCGTTCTGTTGTTGGAAATCTTGAAGGAGTCATCTTTGAGGTGACCCTTAAAAAACAGCATGAGTAACTACAACGTTCACATTTTATGGGTGACAAATCACGAGAGCTTCACGTGTATTTTCTTCCTTTTCATGTTCAACCAGAAATGGATAATTCATTCTGTATTTTGCCTCGAGAGAAGCTTGCCTATGTTTGGATTATACATTTTCAGTTTCCTTGTAAAGTTTTCGTTTCAAATATATTCTGCCAATGGGGTCGGATGGAAGTAATCTCGTTCGTTGGATGATGATATGTTTCCAAGTATGCTTTGCTTCATTGCTTGTAAGGACAGGTCTAATGTTTGGGGAAATTGCCTGGCTTTGCTAGCAAGAGGAATCTAATGCAAAATATGTTTTATGTTTAGAGCTTATTAGTGTGTGAATATCATTATCTTGTGTCGTAAGATGATTGTCTCGATCCTCTCCTTGGTTCCCGAACGGTTTTCTGTTTGAAAGGCTTCCCCGGGAATCGCTTTAAGCATATTATGGTCCAGTGATCTATTCTTCAATTCTGGCTTGCACCGGTAAACCTCTCCTATTAGACTGGCCAGGCTAACCAAGCGATTTGGTTGTTTCTTTAGCCCAACGGGGCTGTGCGCAGTGTGGCCGAAAACCAAAAATCCCTTGTGAATGCCTCCACAGGCCTCCAATTTTACAATCTATTCAGCCCTGCCACTTCTACACAAAAGAAGCTACGCCTTTGACGGTGTGACGCCAATAATTGTTGCTACAAGCCCCTTGCAAATTAGTACGGTTAGAATAATAGCAATGTTACATTACAGTCTATTGATGAAGGTGAATCAAGTCTCATGAGGATCAACAACTAATAGTAGTACACAATAATGTTCTAGACCCAGCTCAGCTGAACTATTACAGGCTTCTATATTAAAATCGGAGCATAGAACTGATGACTCGCGATTAAAGTGCCGTTGATCAACATAATGTTCTTAATCTTTTCATCCCAATCAAGCCTCCGACCAAAGTATAAACCACAAAAGCCCTGCCAGAATTAGTTCCCGAAAACCTTTGTTAGCCATGAAGCCAATAATCCAACTGTCTTTGCAATTATCTGAATCTTAGAAAATCTTCCAAGCTGCTGCATGCTGCACACATCATTCCTCTCTTTTGTTTATAACAAATGGAGATGAAGTGTGATGCTCGGAGAAGGGCAATCTGCAGGATTTAAGGTATCTCTGGATTGGATGATAAGTCTGACTTTATCCCTTTTCCGTATGCGGCAATGAGTAGTGCATCAGCCCTCCCTAAAATATCAGGAAAATTCACAACATTGAACATCATTTACCATCCTTTCAAAAGAGAAGAGTAAAGAACATTGCAGTAAATCGAACACTAAAATACTTTTTTCTTTTGATCACAGAATTAGATCATATAAGATTCATGTAGATTAAAAGGATCATACACTCGAATAGACTTTGAATATGTTTTTGCAAGGATTAGCACAGGCGTTTATACCACAGAGCACAAGACAGGTGATATGAGCAAACTTGTCTTCTACATTACAGCAGCGCAAAGCTAAAGGGACCCTTTGAAAAATGCAGTACAACATTCCTGTATTCCTCGATTAAGTAAAAGTAGACTGGGAGCTTCGCATTTATTTCTTTAGTTCCATCTGTCTTTCTCAATCTAGAGAATTTTTTTTTATCACAAATAATAGAAACAATATATACATCTTATATATACATACATACCGTGATCTTTTTTCCTTTCCAACATGGAACTCAATGATGGAAATAATGCAGACGCAACCCTCCGGCTATCATCCTATCAAGTCAAAACTTAGAATTAATATACCATATTTGTTTTTCTTTACAACATAGAACTCAACAATGAAATTGATGAAATCGCAACTGTCTGGATATCATCCTATCATGTCAATACTTAGCATTTGCAAATTTCAATGGAAAAGTTCTCGCACAGGACATATTCTAAAAAATTAAATTAAGCAATGTCAAATACAAAAAAGTTGTCCTAGTTTTTATTTTTTATTTTTTATTTTTTTTGTACTTTATACATTGGAAGGAATCAAACCATTGGCTAGCCTATTGTTTTTATTCAACTAGATTTGTGATAAATTCTGAACTTAAACTGCTGTAAATAGCCTGTGAACACGTAAATAGTTGGGACCAACCAACCTTTGTATACATGCTTCCGCTGATTTCAAATTTGTTCTTCCACGAAATAGATGACACTGGAATAACTGAAAACCCCATGGCAACTAAGATCCCAATCCATAGTCCATACCCGAAACCTCCACTCCACCATCCCTTCATCCAGGAAAAAACTATCAGCAAGAACCAAAAGAATTCAAACAGATTTCTGTTTTCTTGTCCCTTTTCATTTGGAAGGCAATCAGTCAAGCAAAATGGAAATGATCACAGTAGTCTAGGACATTCAAGAAAGAACTTTAAGAAAAAGCAATAATGGATAAGAGAATTGGTGAAATTTAAGTTCTTACAACTAAAATAATTGACCGAAAAGCCTAATGATAAATATCAGAAAAACTGGAAAATATGGCAAAATATTCACTTACAGAATCTACTGGAACTGAAAATCAGTTTGTAAAATTTGATGGAAATTTCCTTTAGCATAATCTCACATTTCCTAGGAATATGTAGTAGTAGTTTTGCAAGGATAAGTTGTACCCATCGGTTTAAGTCCCTCCCTCCCTCTGTTGGCCCTACACATGCAAGATGGGATTGCACATGAGGAAGGGCGGTTAACTTGATATGCATTGTTGGTCCATTCCCTGAAGACTTGAGATTTCAAAGTCAATGGTTATCTAACACGGTAGCAGAGCCGGTGTTAAAGACTAACTAGCCTGCTAGTAATCTCTTATGCTGAAATCAAAGATAAGTGCTTTAATGGCTCTGATTCTTTCCAAGTTTTTGTAATACTGGGGATGACAATGATGCAATCATACAGGACGTCAGGATAACTGGTAAGGAATCGGTAGCAGCCTTGAGATCAAAAGAAAATCATTTTTTCTTTCCTATAAGGTACTCCAACAGTTGGGTCTGGTTATAAGTACCAGCCATTTTTAACCTTGCCAAAACCGTCATGGCCCAATCATGTATAGGCCGTACCGAGGCCTGATACAAGGGTGAGTCAATAGGGAATAACCTTTTCTATCAATGAATTCCCGAGCAATTCTCATATGCACAATTTACAAAAGAAAACAAAAACAACAAAGGAACCAGATGTAAAACAATACCAAGGAATACTCTACTCAGAGATAACACACTAACCTGCTTTCCATCTTGTGGAAAGGGGGTCGACTGCTCTACATATGCAACCGTGCCTGAGACATGAAAATGCAATTGAGTATGCCAAAAGGATTGGAGGATAGAGGAAAATAATGAAAGGAATAGGAGAGCATACCAGGGGGAGCATCGAAACTGCCGAGCAACTGAACAATAGACTTTGCATCTAAACGCCTCCGAACTCTTTTACCCACCAGAACTTTTAAATGTGGAGAGTCATATACCTGAGAAATCGAAAAACAAAAAGAGATTGGATAAATTGACAGGGCCAACAAGCAGAGCAGGGATTAGCAAGTGAAAATCCATGGCATTGTAACAAGATTTATCAAACTCATGAAAAAATCTCTCAATGTACAAAATAATTTATGTTAAACTGCCAAGAATTTATCCTCGAATCGAAACAAACCGAAACAGAAACAGTTGATACGCAGAATGAGAAACAATAATAACATTAAACTGAATAACTAACTAACAAACTAACTGCTCTTAAAAATTAAGATATTATGAAATCAAAGAGTAGTAGTTGAAGCAGGAGGGCAGTTAAGTTAGTTAGTTGTTAACCTGAGCAGAAGAAGAAGCAGGGTCATCATCCCCTTTCAAGAGGGCAAAAGCACCAGAAACATCCGGGTCGACCCCAATGACCCAACTGGAATCCGAATTGGTACTGGTCGAATCCAAGGTGTCTGGGTTCTGAGGAAAAGGGCAAGAGAGAGAGGCCAACCAGTTGTGTTTGAGCTGAGCAGCGTCGGAGACCTTGGCGGCGGCAGCCCTATCGCCAACCCCTACGGATTTTGTTGAAGCGGAAGCGGAGGAGAAGGGTGTCGTCGAGTGAGAGTAAAGAGAAAAACACCATTTGAGGTTGAATTTGGAAGGGAATGAGAGATAAGGTCTTATCATGAGTTGGTGATGAAGTTGGAGGTTGACAGCTTCCATCAAATTCTAATTTCAAATTTCAAATTCTTACACAATCCACACCACATCACCAATTGGTCCAATTCATTCAAATCATCCTATCAGGTAGAGCTCGGTGTTCTTGCTGTTTTCATGACATATTTAATGGGGTGTGATATCCACACACCCTATTTTACTTCTCACACACCTTTTTAATTTTCGGCCGATCGGATGAATTGAAGAAGATCAACGGACAGAAATTATCAAGAGGTGTATAAGAAGTAAAATTGGGTGTGTGGATAGCACACCCCATATTTAATATTCTAATGGTTCTCTCTTGTAACACCAGTTAAATTGAACGATACTTGATCCGAACTCAACCCATTTATATTAATGAGTAATATAACTTAATCTGTTAAAGAAAATATATTTTACTTCAATAAATAATCAAATGAAAAATGTAATACTAAATTAGTATCTGTTTGAATATGAGTATGATTGTAAGATACCTCTCGCAAATTCCCTAGGGGATAGTGATTTCTTTTTTTTTGGGGGGCGGGGGGAAATACCCCAAAATTGGACAATTTCTTAGCCTTGGGACAAAAATAAGACATTTCAAATATGCACACGCCATGTGCACGCGATGCACAACAAATGGACAAAAAATATGATTTTTCCTACACCTTAAAATGATCTAATTGCCCTTGTATTTAAATAGGTTAATTTGTCAAACCAAGTCAGCATTTCTTCCTCCTTTTTCGAAAATCTGTGGCGCCCAACCCTTAGCTCCAAGAACCTTAACCGCAAACGGCGCGACCCTGTTCCACCCCATTTCTAACTGAAGCAACCTTTTCCACCCCATTTCCTGCCAACGCAACCCTTTTGTACCACAATTTCCAACCGACGAAACCTTTTCCATCCACTCTATTATATATTTAGGAGGTGTTGTGCTGTGCATTTGCACATCCTTTCGAAATATTTGAAAAAGTTGTTTCCACCCCAGCATTTGCACATCCTTTCCAATAGAATTCAATGGCAAAATCCAAAAAGAGATACACTTTGAAATGAAATTTAATTATTTGAACGTAGGTTTTGTAAAATTGGGAATTTTGGGTTTTGGGTGCGAATTAGTGTTTTGTATAGTTAATTTGTTTGATGTTAATTTCTATTGTGCATGTGGTTTAGAGGTTGGTGAAAATTAATTGATTGAAACATGTTCATCAATTCATACATACTGCGTGCATAGTCCTTGCATGTCTATATAGGGCACGCTTAAATTTTGTTCATGATTCGTTGAATTTGTGCACTATATGTATATTCTGTGCATATCCTTTTGATATTACTGGAATTTGATTGAATTATGTTCATGAATTGGTAGATACTATGTGCATATATTGTGCATATCCTGTGCACGCGTTGATGTTCGCCATACTTGTAGTTGGTTGATGAACTGGTTTAATTTGGGCAGACAATATGCATATGATGTGCAAATCCTATATGCATGCTTATCTTATTTAATTGATTTGCTTATGTTCTAAATATTGCAGGTCCAAAGTCAAATCTACATCTGACGGAACTCGTGTGTTCGTCAGATGAGGTGTTTCTTGCAACCATCTCTTGTCTGTCATATGCCTCATGGTGTCTGGGTAATATTAGAGGCCGATTTACAAAGGATCAGTGTTTCAGCCGTTTGGTTGATGTGGATCACATTGATTGGTTCGAGCAGCTCACCCACTACGCTATCCTTAGAGCTATTAAGGATAAAGTGAGTGATGATTCCGTCTCCTTCCTTTTTGGCATATCGAGACTTTCGGTTGTCACAAATTCTGTTTGGTGACGGTGTTGGAAGTATGCCCATAAAGCCACACATTTGATGTAATAACTTTTGGAATACTTATTGTGTTAAACTATTATATGTTTAATGAAGGGCAAATCTTATTGTTAATCACTATTATTGTATTATGTGTTTAAGCAATAAGGGAATCCAAGGAATGTATTTAATCAAAGAGAGAAGTGATATAAATAAGTTAGATTAACGAGACATTTCTCTTGTGTTCATTCCTAAAACGTTCCTAGTCATATGATTGCCAATTGGGCATTGACAATCCGCTAAGGTTAGTATGTGTTATGTTAACTCAAGCATGAGTATGACTAGTCTCAAGTCATTTAGTGTTGGACACTAAGACAACACACATAGGTGCTCGAAAGGTAATTGAGTACACTGAACCATGATTAAAAGGAGTTCAAACATACATGTCATGTAAGAACTCGTAAGTGGCAATATGCAAAGTAGTCATATGACCAGAGGCATCATAGATGTCTAATGGTTGAGTCCTTGATCTGATCATGTTAAAGGCATTCCATTAAGAGTATCCACGACATTGTTTGGGTCAAGCTATCTAGTCATGTAGGCATATGAATGCACAACAAGGGATCTCTAACCTTCCATGGTGGAGGGAGAATACTCTGAGATATGATTCAGGAGTCTTTGCCCAAAGCATACGAATATGACTTAGGATTTGTTCCAAATCATATTCAATTGAATCATATAGAGAAGTATCACATTGGATAGTAGACATAAAACAAACTATCACTCAAACAATGTGATTAAGAGTATTGTATTAGAGAATGACCGTATTGCATTGTAATTGTAACTAAATAGGTTCTCCAACCACTTCTACTTAGCTTGGGTAGCCATAACATACTGCTAGGTGTCACTCATGGTTTGTGGAAACCCTAAAGATTGACAAACACTAATCTTCCTCAAAGGGAGAATTGAAATGTAGTTTCAATTCACAATCGATCGTTAAAAGTAACAATCGCCCACTGCCTCACTAATTGGAACCTAATGGATCAGACATCGAGTAAGGATGAAAGTGAAGAAATATAAATAAGATGGATAAGCAATTAAATAGTTTAATTGAGAATGGTCAAGATTAATTAATTAGTTAATTAATCTTATGAAAGGTTTGTATTGGACTTTTAAGTTGGTTTTGGGTTTCGGGGCCCAAAAGGGTTTTTGGTCTATAAGGCCCATTGAGTTTAGGTTGTGTGACAACTAAAACTAAATGGAAATTAGCCCAATAACTAAGTCAAAAACCGGCCATAGGGTGAGTGGATGCAAACTTGGCTTAATTGCAAGTTTGCCAAGTGGTATAAAGGCAACTTTATAGTCATTCTCTCACTAGGGTTTTCTTGAGGCAAAGAAGAGAAACTTTTTCTCTCTTTTTCTCTATAGAGGCCGGCCACTTAGGGAGACTTTAACTAGCATAAAAATCTCTCCAAGTAATCCATCTTCTCTTCACACTACATCTTTGGTGTGGAGACTTAGAGACACCAAATCTTTAGTGTTCTTGGAGATCCTTTCCTCACATCCTCAAGGAGCAAAGGAGTATCAAAAGGAAAAAAACACAAGGAAGATCTAAGGAGCTAGGAGGTGACTTAAAGGCCCTCCACTTGGGTGAATCCCTTGTGTAAACAAGGATGAGCTTCAAGGGTAATGAATCTCAAAATCATTTCTTCTCTTTAATGTTGTTAAAGAGTCTTGTGGTTCACCATTCACTAGGCTTTGAAAGTCATGGGTTTTAGAATTGTTTTTGAATGCATGCCTACTTTAAAGTGTTATTAGTTTGCTTATGTGTTCAAATGTTCTCACATGTTCTTAGCTAGGACAAAAATTTTCCTTCAAGTGGTATTAGAGCCTAGGTCTAGTGTATGGTGAATCCTTTTGGGTTTTGTGTTTTTCATGGTTTGTGATTTAAATGTTGTAAATGTTACAAGCTTTGTTCTTACTTTTTGAATATAAATTTTGCTTGAAAATTTAGCATCTCAAAAGTTGTAGTTGTAGTTCATTTAAGCATGAATTTTGGAGCTAAAATTTGGTGCCATGTTTGTGGGGTGGAGCTAAAATTTGGTGCCATGTTTGTGGGGAAATTCGGCCAAATCCAAAGGATGGATTTTTGGGTTTATGTTTATCTTGTTAAAAGTGTTTTAAAGTGACTTTTGGAAACCCTAAGTACCCTAGGAAGTTAACTCCCTTTTGAGTAGTGAAAATTTGAGTTTTATTGAGTGAAAACATTCATGGAGCTCTTATGGGTTTTCATGGATGTTCTTCAATGTTCTTGCTTTATTCTTGTTGTTCATACCAAGAACAAAAAGTTTGTTATTTTGATTCAAAATGTGTTTGGTTGTTTATTTGACATTTTGTTAGTCATGGTTGGTGTACTTGATTGGTGTAATTTTATTCAAAGTCATACCTCTCTTTTTCAACCATACCAATCACTTTTTCAACCATACCTCACCAATCACTTTTGTTTCAACACACACACAATCACCACTCACTCCATAACCGGCCACCCTATAAAGTAGGGTACTTTTGGGGCTTTTATGCAATTACATAAAGTTTTGATACTTTTGTGTATTTGCACTTTGACCCAAAAGTTTACATTTTTACGTAAAGGCCCAAAATCACTAAAGGACAAATTGTTTTGCTCCTTTAATGAAGTTTTTGTTATTGTTGAAATTTTTGGGTTCTAGCTGTAATTACATGAAGTTGTGGACTCTTGTGTTTTTACAAAGTGACCCCAAAAGTTTATGTTTTAGCATTATGGCGCAATAGTTGTGGTCATTGTTTTTTCGGCCCAAATTATGATGAGAACAAAATGGTTTTGTCTCTTTAATGAGAATTGGATTTTCATTTCATTTAGTTCCATTTAAATAAATTCTATGAATCTGAAAACCAATTGTTTAAGTTGTTTTCTTAGTTAATGTGATTGATTAAGAAATGGGTGATTATGAACCAAAGGCCTCGATAATTAAGCTATGTGATTGGCCGCTTCACATTATGAATGTTTGGGTTAAATAGTTTAGATTTGAATGTAATTTGATTAGTTCAAATGTGTTGTAAAAGGGCATAAGTCCTTCAAATGTGTTGTAAAAGGGCATAAGCCCTCTTTATTTCATGTATTCCTTTTTGTTTATTTGTATGCCATTTGGAATAGTTGGGTCCAACGCCCAATAGGAAATGACGGTTTAATTAGATTAAACGCGTAACTAAAATCAACAACTACCTACCTTAGACCCAAGGTCCAACACAAGGCTCGTGTTGGATTAAATCAAACGGTTCAT